ATAAACACTAGAATTAATTATTTCCTTAATGGGTATTTATCTTAATATTCTGGTACATGACAGTTTGAAATAATATAACACTAAAATTATTTTGAAAAGGTTTTTATTTTTACGTTACAGTTTATTTAAGTGTTTCCACTTTTTCCTTCAGTTTATATACAGCAAGAAATTTCTGCACCTAATAATTTTTCAGGATATAAATTATTTTCAGATGAAAAATTTCTCGATTAAATTAAAATTATAAATATTTAGAAAACTTTTTATTTCATTTTAGTTTTTATAAAATAACTTGAAACAATAATTTTTTCAGATTATTATTTAAAGATCTGCGTTATTATTTAAAGACCTTTAAAGATAAGAATTGTCTTACATTATGCTTCTGCCATTTTATTTATAACAAAATGCAAATTTTTGATGTTTCTGTAAAAAAACTGGAAAGTGACTATATTACCTGCATAAAACTACACCCGATAATGACAGAATTGCAAAACAAAATGTATAACCGAAAGAATGATAAGATAAGTTTTACGTGCCTGTTCGTTAAGTTTGCTGACTGTCCGTAAAGACAGTCAACAACGCAATGTCTGAAAAAGCTGATGGTTAGTGATCAAATTACTTTTAAAGAACATGCAGAAAAATACTTGGAGCGATGTTTGAATTATTTAAATAAGTGGTACGAATTTACGAGTATTTACAAGAAAATTAACATTATGACAATGAACAAAAAATTGACTGGAATAAACTAAAGCATCTGAGTTCTTCTCTGAAGGGTCCTATAAATGAGGATAAATTGTATGATCATTACTATTTACTGCGTGAAGTTCGTGAATTTCTGGCTAGCAAAACAAAGAAAACAGATTTGCAATGGATCAATTTTTTTAATGTTTGGGTGAATCTGGCCAAAAACTAAATTTTTGCATTTGCTCTATCGATCCCTGCCGCAAACGCCGCTGCTGAGCGTGTTTTCAGCGTAGTAAATGAACTTCAAAAAGTTGTAATCGACTGAATGAAGCACATGTAAAATCAATACAAGTGAGCACGAATTCAAATACACCTGTAAAGAATTTTACATGTGTATATGTTTATTTATCATCGCCGATCGAAAGACATTACAGTGCTGCTCGCATTGTAAAAATATATAACTTTAAACGAAAATTATTCAATTTTCATTGTTTTTATTTTTATTTTATAGCCTAGACCAGGCATGGCCAACATCCGGCCCGTCAAATGAATTTATTCGGCCCGAGATCAATCTTTCAATATTATCTACTCAAGTCCGAATAGCTCGATAAAAAATTCTGATGCCCAAAAAAATAAAAAAGAAAAGTGAACAATTCATTGTGCGTTCAGAGTTAACCATTCAGTCTCTATGGGATAACATCACAATGAAATCTCGCACCACCCCAAAATCTTTCTAGGGCATCCTCTAGTTCGGCCCGTGGAAAAAGTTTTTTCCAATTCGGCCCGGGGGGAAAAAACTGTTTGCCACCTCTGGCCTAGAAAGTGCTCTCGAATGCAGCACCCTACCTGGCATAAAATTTAAGATTACGAAAATCATATGTATTAAATCCAAGCTATATCCCATAACCCCCATAACTTAAGCGTTTTAAACCCATAACCCGGGGTCAGTTAATTTATTTATTATTTATGTAAATACATTTTTATGGATTCCGGAAACATGTTTTGCAATTTATTTTACATAAAAATAAAATAAATTAATTACATAATTAACTATCTCCCAGGTTATGGGGTTTTAATGCTTAGGTTATCGGTTGAGTTCAAAAAGCTTGCGTTTAATATACAGTTGAAACTGCTTAGGCAACCACCTTCTTTTGATGGGCACCTGTCAAAACGGGCAAAAATTTCTGGCAATGAATAGTTTATCCATAGAGTCTTCGTATAAGTTACCTATATTAAACGACTACCTGCTTAATGCGACCGCAAGCATCGATTTTTAATTCGAAACAACATATAACAACTGTAATAAGCGACAACTTCCGCGAATATATCTGGTTTAAACTATTGTTCAACAACGTTTATCCCCTCCTAATATACTGAATCAGTCTAAATTTTCGTTCGAACACACCTCGGGCACTTCTCCCAGCCAAGGCCGGATTAATTCACTTTAGGGCCCTAGACACTTTCTTTTTGCCGAGCCCCTCCCTCTCCCACAGAAATAGAGCACACAAAAAATATAAAACAATAAATAAAACAAAACTAAATAATGTAAAAAACTAAAACAAATCTTAATTTTTTATTAATAAAAATATTTTATTGCTATAAAATAAATCTAATTGTCGGAAGAATCTTATATACAAATCTTTACAAAATAGACAGTTTCACCGGGATCTTCTATAGATCGGGCCCTAGACATTTGTCTCATTTGTCTATGTGATAGATCCGGCCTTCCTCCCAGCCTTGAAATTAGATGCAGGTGTTAATGAATTAGTCTAGAGACAAAGAAAATTCATTTCAGTTTATTGGAAAATGTCCGAAAAACAGAAGAAATGCAAAGTGCTGTCGTTAGAACATCGTATTAAAGTTATCGCAATAACAATTAGCTGCGAAGTTTAACTGTGGGAAAACAAAACTTATCTTACCGTACACCTACAGTATTTTCCTGAGGTGTAAAATATTGTACACGATACAATTAATTGGCTGATCTCATCGTTTAATAAAATACATTTTTATTTATTTATTTATTTATTTTGAAGCTCATATACAGTACGTAGTTTTTATATCAACGTACCTTATTTCCAGGATATTTTTAGAAAAAATAATATCCAAGTAATTTTCGCATGCAAAATATTCAAAAAACAACAAACGCATTAATGCCAAAACCAGTTTTACAGGCAACCTTTTTTTTTCGATTTTGCAATGACAATTATAATGAAATCGTATAAGGAAAAGAAAAAATGAAATCGTTTTATTATTAATTAATAATTTTCTGATTGTACTTAAGAATACATTAAATATTAAAAAATACAGTGATGTGAAAATCGGATCAAGTAAACGAGTTCAAATCTTCTAAACAACGAAGAATTATAAAGACGAATATTTATTTTATTTAAAACAAAGAAACTTCCATTTCTACGTGCTATCGAACCTTTTTCGGGGGCGGATGTTCATCTTCCCGTCCCCGGAGTGACTTCCTTTCCCTCCGGAACCCAAATCTGAATCAACAGGATCTTATCCAAAGAAATCTATGATTGGTGTAAAAAGATAACGTGATAAAAGATCACCCGAAGATATAAAAGGGGGGACGACCACAGAAGGGGGTCGACTTCGCCGTCCAGGAGCTGATCCGATATCGCCGTCTCCATAATCTACAGTTGAATACTCTACCGATCCGGTCTACGGGCTACAGCGGAGACCCCTACAGAAGAAGACGACCCCGAGCCGATTCTACCTCAAGCTCATCGCTAATCAATATGCGAAATATGGAAACCCAAAACTTAATGTTAACTCTCTCTCGGCGCGGTCCTTCCAATTCCAAGTGAACGGTCAATAATCTCTTGTGTTAGGTTTAGTTTGTGTTAATAAATGTTTGTTTTGTTGTTAATTGGAGTCTTTAATTCGAATAACGCACACACCTCACCGACGGCCCCTCTCTCCTCCTCCACTCGACCTTCCGGAAAGAATCCCGACTTCACGGGCTATAAAATCCTTCCACACGTCATCCCCTGACCAGTGGGCAGTTCTCACCGAACTGTTGCCTATCAAAAAGAGGTACGACTTAGTCCTACCTCCGGCGACCCACAGTATTTTTTAAGTTACAATAATATTAACGAATACCAAAACCAAAGTGATGTAGAGATAGGTCGCGCTTGTATATCGATGAAGTAATACAGGCAACTGAGGAGCGAAAACAACCACGTTAAATTTATTAAGTCGGTAAAAACAGAGTATGCATTATAATCGAGAAAATGCGACTATTGTATTAATATATGAAAAATATTGTAATTAACTTTCTTATAAAATCACAATGACTCATGTAAATCGAGTAATCTGATAAGAATAAAATACAATAGCAATATAGGCCGATCGTTGAAAAAATTCGCTTATTTTTGCTCACCTCGAGTTTTGCTTAGTAGAAATGGATGAAAAGTGTGCAAAATACGTACGAAAATATGGTATTACTGGACCACATCTATTGGACGACCACCTGTCTAAAAGAATACCTTACGTAGGAATCGTGGGGGTCCCAATGGACAGATTTCACTGTATCTGTTTTTCGAATTTTAGAATTTCTCACCAGATAGGGTATTTCATTCGAGAGTATTCCCAAATTTCTTTATGAATTGAATGAATTATTTTCGTAGATATTAAGCATATTCAAGCAACTGATAAATGGCAATCAAAATATATTTTTTACGGAAACGAGACAATAGTAATTATAAATAGTACTTAATGTTCTAACGAAGAATCAGCCAACGTATAAAATTATCAGTAATAAAAACAGAAAAATGACAATAGAAATTACTACAATACAATCAAGGATAGCTACATTATTATTATTCCTTATGCATTTCTTCGATTGTATTTCACTTGATAAGAACGAGAAAAAATATACTACTTTTTTTTGCAACTTACATTACACAGAATATAATTAATCAAATTTTAGACTTGCATTTAATTTATTATTTAATGTTAAATTTTAGCATTTGATTCTTCTAAATGTTTTTTATCTAATATAAAATTTGAATATACATTTGTAGTTTCTAAATTTTTGAATACGAAATGGCACATCACAAAATTTTACCAAGATAAATCTTTAAAGTTTTTCACAAATATACTTTCATGATTGAGTAATAATCAATTGCACAATTCACTTAAAAGTTTCCAGTTTTCTCTCTAAATTATTCATGAAACTTGTGCAGCAAGTTTTCATCGTAAAAAAAATTTATAACTTATTAAATTTAATTTGCTTTTCACATTATCAAGTCTACTATTTTAATCCTGTTTTCAAGATATAAAATTCATACGCAAATTTGTTTTCAATATAATAGAAATAATAATAATTCTGTTCTTAAATACAATTAGCTCAGGATCATTCAATTTAACGTGGAATAAGATATTTCGGTTAATGAAAATTAACACCGAATAAATGGTAAGTTATTATTTAAATTTGTCTTAGCTACAGTGATACGAAAGTGTGTTTTAATGTTAGTTTAATTGTAAATAATTCTTAACTACTTTTAAATAATTAATAAAGGTTGTTTGCTTGTTTGTTTTAAAAGCAAGGTTAATCACAAGCATTAATTAAATTTTAAAATATATCTGTAAAAATTCGTTTGGAATCATGAGGTTCTTATCAAATTTGTGCAGTGTTTTTTCCTCTATAGTAAAACCGACTGTCCTTTATTGTGCTGCTTGTACTTTATTATACTTTATTCTTTATTATTCGACATAAATTATAAATACTCAACATCATTACAATGTTGATTATTTCTAATTTATGTACAATAATGAGAAATTCGATTAACCGTATCTGTCTCATTATTCAAGATAATGTTGCAAACTCTACTTATACTTATTATTATTTATGACGCAAATGAACAGATGTTCGTTGGAAATGTATGATAAAATCTCCCCCAAAGGAAGTTTTCTTTCGTTCCCACGGAAAGGGAAAATGTACTTCTGTAGAACTTTTATTTACTAATTGATTTAAATAAAACTTATGATTCTCACACTTGTAGACAACAGTGTGAGCCGCCGGGGTGGTCGGGAAATCCTCTCCTTCCGGCCACATGTCGGTGACCTATTTTCTTGTCAAGGATGGCGTTTCGTTCAGTTACGCGTTACGCGAGTGGAGGAGAGTCGGAGGGGTCGACGATAAGACGTTGGCAAAGTCAAGTAACGACACCATTTAAAAAACAAAACAAGAATTTATTAAACTAACTAACTAAATAAAATCTTACAAAACTCCTTAGACTTCGCGGATGAGAGAGAGTTTACAGTAACAAGCGTTCATACCTCTTTGCATATACTAGTAGGATATTTTCCCGTAATGTCGTAAAAAAGGGATTCTGATCGGTGACGAAAGTGTAGGTCTGCGACAAAAGTGTAGGGCTGCGATGGAGAAGGCGATGTCTGACTTCGACGTTCGGCGATTCCCCCGATGAAGGGACGGTGTCGGTCTTTTATACCTTTTTCGGTGGGAAAATTAGTCAGGTGATCAATTGTTTTAGCAGGTGTGGGGTTAAAGGTGGTGATCGAATGACAACAATATGACGAATTTTGCCTGTAAGTGTAAACTATGCACGGTTTGATGGTGAGAATGTTTATAGTTAAACCGAAAGAGTTATAAATTTCTCATGCACTTTATATTTCGTTTTTGTAGGTCCAAATTCCTTTAGTTAAAGGAATTTTAATTTACATTTATTAAAATTTTAAAGGATTAATTNCACGGTTTGATCGTGAGAATGTTTATAGTTAAACCGAAAGAGTTATAAATTTCTCATGCACTTTATATTTCGTTTTTGTAGGTCCAAATTCCTTTAGTTAAAGGAATTTTAATTTACATTTATTAAAATTTTAAAGGATTAATTTCTTTTATGAAATTATATAAACTTCGAATTTCACAACAGTTTTATTTGCTAATTTTTTGTTTTTTCTTTGTTTGCTTACTTATTTGTTGTTTTTAAATGTTCTTTCACCCTTTTTCCTCAGAAAAAATTAACTAGTAACTTAAAAGTTGCTTGAAAATATCAAATGCTACGAATTTTTAACTGTCCAAAAGCAAGAGTTTTTACCTAGAAAACAATATATGAAAATGAATCTCTGAAGTTATCGTTAAACTTCATTGGTAACTTTTATCGATGTTCTTTCGATAAGTAGTTAAATTTGTTTTAAAACTTTTAAATACTTTTACTATTTATTCGATAAATGACACAAGATAGCTTCTGATGAACAAAATCTTGTATTTACTTATTCGTGTGACCACAGAGTCGGCACCTCTTAGATGCCACGTAAAAACAGTTGCCACCGTGCCTTAACGGACACGTAAATCGCGTTGGCCGTTAGTAGTTCGTTCACGCGCGAGCGGTCGGAAATGCAGATGCTTTGACTCGACATGGCAACAAATCCGAACAACTGGAAAAGGTGCACTCTACAAACTTATTATTTGACAAAAACCCGTTTGTTTATCAAAACTATTTACAAGTTTATAGAATATTGGTTAAGACGCTCAGCTTATCTGCAAAATTCATAACACATTATATGGGGAACGGAAGTAATCTTATCATTAATATCGCGACTCTAACCGCGAGAGAGAGAGAGAGAGTTCTTAATCGTTCGCGTGTTGATAAATATTTTAATTATTAGAACCAACTGTTCGTTTGAATTACAAAATTGTATCAAAGTTCTACTCCTGGTCTGCAAGGTTCGGGAAAAGCTTCGATGATTCCAAAATGATGAAAGTCTTTACATCTTGAGAGGGCAAAGGGTGGCAACGACTGGAGCAGTTTTCACATAGAAGGGTAAACTGCGATTATCATCGATTCCTCCTTATTATTAGGGGGTCTTTTATGGTTTTTTTCTATGACCTTATTTGGAGTTATTATACATGGAGCCAATAGTTAAATTTTGATTGTTAGTTCCAGGTGACACATTAGGAAAATGTGTCACCTTTGAAAGAAAGTGAATCTGGAGAGAGATATGATCATATCCTTCTAGTTTTTATTAAGTGTTGGGGGGAAAAATATAATTTTTTATTAGTTTAAGCGGTATTTCGTTTTATTTTAAAAACGACTGTGAAAGATTATAGAAAGAGTTCACTAAATCTGGGATTAACTTTAGCATCAACTTCATATTTCGGTTCAGACGTGGATTTACGTTTAAATAGTTTATTATAGATAACAGATTTGTTCTAATTTTGTCAAGCTTCTGGTAGTATCATTTAAATTGATCTGTGATTAGAGTTATTATAATTTTTAAATAATATATTTAAAACATCGATCAATGGTCACGTATTATTATCGATAATATATTTCCACATTTTCGTCTTTAGAGTTCTATTAAATCTCTCAACAACTGAACATTATCTATTTCTGCTATTATTAAATAAGTTTCTTTATATATCGGAGCATTACAATATATTCTCGATCTTAACATATTAAGTATAGTATCCGGAATCATAATATTAGTTTTATTTATAACCGGCTTTACTGTTCCATTCTTTATGTCATGTAAAAATCGGTATCCAAAGAGTTTGTGTAGTTTAATAATTTTCCTTTTCAGATACGCTCTATTTTTTCACTTTCAATTCTTTTATATTTCCTTTTTTTATATTGTGAGAATACGGACGAGGGTCCAGGCCCTCTAATTGTCAGATCTGTTAGACCTGCTCACCTTGTCACTGGATGGCTTAATTTTTCTCAGAACCCGAGTGGTAAGATTCTGTGTGGGGTCTGTGCATAAAGAACAGATACTCGACAACAGAAGTAGTATAATATAAAATTAACAGTTTAATCATTGCTTACAATACTACAGCAGGCTATAATAGATACACAAAGGAATAACAATATGATAAGTACTTAGGTATGGATTATCCCTGTCTCTGTGGTATATTAAACTATCCCGAGAGAGAGAGTTTACAATAAACGTTTACCTCGTAGTTCATGTTGAAACCTTGTATCTCGTTGATTCTATTCCTGAGGTGGCGAGTTCGGAGGACAGGTTCAGCTGTTGGAGGAGAAGTAATCACTTTGGCAATTTCTGAACGAACTCCCCGAGTGTCGGCAAACTCGCCCTTTTATCTCCAATTATTTCATAATAATAATTTCTAGAAATGAGTTATGACATTTGAGCAGGTGGTGTGCAAAATTCTAAGATACGAAGTGTGGAAGAAGGAAGCAAAACATCCTCGGTTCTTGAAAAACGTTACGTGACAGAGCAGTTTTGCAGGATGTTAAAGTTTTATAACCTTTTTAGGTTATGTTAAGTTAATTATTCCAAATTTTATCATTTTAAAATGTTTTTAAGTGAAATTAAAGTAAATTATTTATTTAAGTTTGTTTAGCGTATAAATTATATAAAGATTCAAGACTACCTCCACATTATCACATCACTTCCTTCCTTTTAAAAATCACACCGACTCTAAATAGGTGGGATTTTCTAGTTTGTGTTATACTCTCTCTCTTTATATAGGGGTTATACGAATTAAGATACAGTTGATATTATATAGTGATATCGATTACAATTGAATTAAATGTAAACAAAATATAAGATAAAATATATATATATATACATATATATACGGTCTAACTTATTACAATAATAATTGATTAAATTACATTGCTTAAGTATATAGAGAATAGACCATACAATCAAGAGGAAATATTTCCTTTTAGGAAATCATTTAATTAATTCTTAGGGAAGGAAATAGTCTTTCATTCAGGAACAATCTTGCTGTACTTTCTATAAAAGCTTCCTCAAGTACTTCCTGTAAGGTTGATAACACTTTAGGGAAGTGTCTGGTCAGTCTCTATAATAGAAGATGGTTTCGAAGAATGATGCGGAGCAGGGATGGAAGTGGGATGGGTCCCGTTGAGGTCTTCATTTTCAAATTCTGGGAGGAAATGTTGAACATGGCTCGAAGAAATGTAGAATGTTGACTCCATAGCTAACTTCGCTGAAATGTTTCCTGAAGACTGGGAAATAAGCACTTAAAACCAATAAGTTTCTTGAAAACACTGAAGACTATAAGTTGAGGGTATTTTAAAGGAACAGGGATCACGTGGTTACAATTTTATATCCTTGTGGATATTTATAACTCTCTCTCTTTATATATATAATGTGTAGTGGATATTATATATAATATATATAATATATATTATTATATATATATAATGTGTAGTGGATATTTTCTGGTTAAAAGACTGAACTTCTAAAAATGTGTATAAAGAATTTGCAAATAACTGAAGTTATATAGCCGGAACATTAGGGAAAAGGTTAACTGAATAAATTTTAAAAAAAAATGTATAAGTGGTTTACCACTACGTCTTAAAGTCGGTAAGTACGCACAGTTAAATTCTTAGGTGTGGTAGATAAAGATAAGGTGGGAATACGGGAGGCTCTCTCTCCGGTATCTTCATCTCTACGGTGAGG